GATCAGACTTCGTATATGCGAAATTTTTCTTCAGCAATTGCTTGTATTCTATCATGCCAGTCTTATCGCATTTACGAATTAAATCAAGGTGGAAATCCAGGAAATCCAAATCTGAAAGAATTTAACAACTTAATGGCAACAGCAGACGCACATTGGAGAAGTGATTAGATTGCTTAAAGGCATTTCAGGAAGTTTTCAACTGCAAAATGAGTCACTTGTAGTAAAGAATAACATGGAGGCTTTGATGATGACGAGCTGTGCACTTATGTTGAATTTAATCCGCTTCAAATGTGTCAGAAACTTACGTTAAGATTCAACAGAAGTGAAAAAACTATAAATTTGTATCTGCACCATCTCCTGAAAATATGCACATCAGGGAAATTGTATAATGGTATTCTACGAGCTTAGATAAGAAAACAAACAGAAAGAAAGCACATAAACTTTCTTGACTAGTATATATATATATATATATGTGTGTGTGTGTGTTTGTGTGTGTGTGTGTGTGTTTGTGTGTGTCTGAGTGTGTTTACGTTGATGTAATACAAGTGAAAAAGAGGGAGTGCTGAAAGTGATTTAATCACTAGATCATCGACGTAAATTTACGAAAATTTATATATAAATATATATATATATATATATATATATATATATATATATATACAAATATAGATAACTATACTCGTTTCAAAAAACCCTCGAATTTTTGATTTGCCAATAATCAAATCAATCTCGAAGGAAAAAAGGTTTAAAAAAAAGAAAGCTAGAAACATGAAAGTCTGTCGAAAAAAATCGCACAGATGCAGGTTTGAAGCCTAAAGAAAAACCCCGATACGAGTAAACAACTAACCAACAAAAGAGCTCAATACAACCGTATATATATATATATATATATATATATATATATATATATATATATATATATATATATGCAAACCTAGAGAGCCAGACAAACCTACCAAGGTTTCACCTAAGCTGATCGTCAGGGAAAGCTAGCTCCATATTAGTTGGTTTGAAACAGTGCTTGATAGGGTGACCTAGAGCTTTAGAAATATAGGCAACTACACTCGTCTCGGAAAACCTTCAAGCTTTCCCTGACGATCCGCTTCGGTGAAACCTTGGCTCTCTAGGTTTGACTAGGTCTGTTCTACTTTTGTAATGAGCACTTTTTTAGTTAGTTGATTACTCGTATCGGGTGTTTTCTTCTTCTTTGGGCTTTGGACCTGAATGCTGTACGATTATTTTCGACAGACGTTCATGTTCATAAGTCTTTCCTTTTTTAAAACCTTTTTTTTCTTCGAAATTGATTTGACCATTAGCAAATCAAGAAACCGAACGTTTTCCGAGACGAGTGTAGTTACCTATATATATATATATATATATATATATATATATATATATATAAAACATTTCAGTTTTCTAGGCAGATCTTCTATATGGGATATATATGTGATATATTTGATAACAAAGGTGATAAAAATATAAACAAAAACAAAAGGATACTAAAGGAAGTCGGCTAGAATATATATCCAAACACATATATTCCAAATCAATGAATTAATTAATTAAATATAATTATCAAATCCTCCTACTAATTACTATCTGTTTATCATCGCTTAAACCGGCTTCTAATGCTCCATTTGGTAGCGGCTTGGTGAGAGTAGTCGTGGCTCCCGGGGGCACAGTCCTATGGTTACAGAGAACTCAGTCCAGTTCCGCCACGGAATATGTGAGCGAGCGGCGCTAAGTTGAGTCTGATTTGGAATCTCTTCGTTACCGAGGCCCATTTGGTACAGTTGGTATGTTGTTCGCTTGACAACCCAACTGTCAGGGTTTCGATACTCGGTGGTGGATGCGCACTGCTGATGAGTCCCAATTATAGGACGAAACGGCCGTCCAGTGCTTCCTCTATTCCTGTTGAGGTTTCTATCAGACTCAATGAATTAATTAATTAAATATCAAATCCTCCTACTATATATATATATATGTGTGTGTGTGTGTTATGAGATGGATTATGTCAGACAATTATTTTTCATATATTTTCTGTTTATACGTTGTTTTTATAGATACAATAAATTAAATAAATGATATGTTTATAATGAACAGTATTAATAACATTTACCTGACTGAAGTCCGAGAAATTTCATAGAAAATGTTTCCCCGATAGGAATCGAACAAATTTATAGTTTAAAAGCAGTAATTTGAGCTTGCCACGCATATGCTTCCTTTGTAGCTAAATGGCATAGCACGTCAGGCTATATGACGATTCCGTATAGGATACAGGTTCGATTCCTGTTGAAAAGCATATTTTTTATGAAATTTCGCGGACATTTATATACTAAAATCTTTTGAAAAAATAATAGCATTTTGACTATTATATATAAATACTTGTCAAAAAATAAAACTTTACATTTGCTCAGAGGACGAAATGCGACGACTGCAATAATTTTTCCTTTTGTTTTTATTCATATATAAATGGTGTGCCAAAAACTTGAACCTATTCTAAATGTGAATTAAGTTTAATCGTCTTATGATTTTTATTTTTTATTTTTCAGATTTAACAACTTAAGTCTTTGGGAATTTAACATGGAAAGATTAACAATCAAACAACGTGTTAAAGTTTCAAGAGTGCAATTTGAAAAATTTTTCGTAAATTCAATCAAACTGGGTCGGTGGCAGATGTGAAAACACCATTGCGTACCGGTTTACGCAGTTCAGCTGAAAACATTGCTGCAGTGCACGAGAATTGAATCTCTCCACAACAACGTTACAATGTTTCCAGTTGAAAACTTGGTTGGTCAATTGTGCTGACGAAAAAATATCGCGAAGTGCGCGAAATGCATTTCTGTTTGAACGTCCATTTTCATAATAGGCTTCGATAACTTTAAGATGTTGTTTGATTGTTAATCTTTCCATAATTGAAATTGTCAAATACTTAAGTTGTTAAATCTGAAAGAAAAAGAAAATAATCATTAGACGCTTAAACTTAATTGACATTTAAAAAAAAATTACCATCTTTGTTATATAATTTATTATTTAATTTATTGTAATGTACTTGTAATCTCTGATGAAGGCTTATGTAAGCCGAAAGCTTTGACAGGATTAACAATAAAAACATCTATCGACATGGTGATTTTCTTTCGTGTTTCAGTGATAATGCTAAAAACCTTATTCGACAATATGAAAGGAATTTACTGAAAATAAATAGACAAAACTTGTCTATTATTTAATGAAATATGCATTAATGAAAAAATGCTGCCTATGTACACGATATATATATATATATATATATATATATATATATATATATATATATATATATTAGTTTGATTATTTGAGATATGTGCAAGCTGCATTAAATTTTGACAAATGACAAGTCAACCTTTTATATAATATTTTGCTGATATCTACTCAAGTTTGTTTCATGTTAATATTATATATGAGGTTGACTTATCATCAGCATATGCTAAATAAACAAAATAATATTAATCTAAGACAAACTTTTAATAGATAACGCCAAAATCATACTTATTATAAAACCCAGGTTGTGTGTGTGTGTGTGTGTGTGTGTGTGTGTGTGTGTGTGTGTGTGTGTACGTTTATATATTGGATCGGATTTCCTACATTTTTCAACCGATTTCAACAAAACTTCACAGGACTACGTAAAATTACGTTGCGGTGGTTCTGACAGCGCCAAAAATTGGAAAAACACAATTGTTTTTGCACAAAATCAATGTGAAAACACGATTAAGAGGCATTGCTGTTTCGAGAATGAAAGGGGGACAACTCATATCGAGTTATACTTATTATCAAACCCAGGTTGTTTCTGTGTGTCTGTGTTCGTTTATATATGGGATCAGATTTTTTAAATTTTTCAACCGATTTCAATAAAACTTACCTTTTTTTTGGCAGGTAGTGTTTCTTGTCTTGCACACTTTTTTCTTTATTTTTACATTCAGAATGCTTTAAAAATTCCATTTAAAAGACAATTATTTATCATAAAATTCTATTCAATCGGTAGACTCATAACGATTGAAAACAATGTTTTTGTTTGAGTTTGGGTTTGACCAATTCGTAAAAAAACAAAAAAAAAAAACAACAAAAAACTAATTAAGACATGTGTGTCCGTCAACCTTAAACAATAATCTTTGTCAATTTTATTTTTCAGTCTTTATGATGGTCGATACTTGATCTATCTCTTACTGTTACATCCCCGGGCAACGCCGGGCACTTCTGCTAGTATTATATAGGAGGTTGACTTTTCATTTGTCAACACACACACACATATACATATATATATATATGTGTGTGTGTGTGTGTGTGTGTGTGTGTGTGTGTGTGTGTGTGTGTGTGTGTGTGCGTGCGTGCGTGAAGATGATGAGACAAAGTTGAAAATGTTATTAACTCCTCGATAATTACATCGGGTACTGTTTTTATTAACAACAGCTCTCAATGTACGATATCTTATATTAATTACATTTAGCGAACTGAATTTTCGAGAAATTTCGTGGAAAATATGAGTTCTATGACAGGAACCATCATTAAACCTGAACATTCAGGCCGGCAAATGTAATTAATACTGTTTAATTAAAAAAGAAAACAAAGCATTAACTCAAATAAGTGTATCCTTAAAATAACGTATAAACAGAAAATATTTGTCGGATTTAATCTATTTCATCCATTTCATATATATATATATATATATATATATATATATGAACACACGTGTACATAGATACACATTCACCCAGGTATATACATATATTAGAACCTTTTTTCGCATACATTTACACAAATGTACAAATATACATAACCATCGATATATACCTGTGCATGCATATACACACATACATATATACTCATCACAGTTTTTTTTATATATATATATATATATATATATATATATATATATATATATAGAGATCAAAACCAACTAAAACGTGCCTAGTTACTCCAGTGCATTCAACATTCTATTTCATTAAATGTTTATCAAACTTCCAAACATGTTTTATAAACATAATGAGAAAAAGAGCGATGAAATCATATTACCCGATTTCACTGGAATTAGTTGGGTGGGATCTGGAAAACACGAGCCAGAAAACAGGAAACAGCACCACAAGATTAGCTTCCATTTTGATTTAGAGGAGGAATGTTTCCCTCGCAATAATGATGTTTACAAAGTCCAGACTCTTAAATCACGGAAAGAAATCATTCCCTGCTGAATCAGTTCTTATCGTAGAAAGACATAAGTAAATAGACACCATTAATTTGTCTTTCGTCTACCATTTAGCCTTGAGAGTTTTCTTTCGACGAGATATCTCGTGAGAAATGTCCCTATCTTGAATTGATCTCTTTTTCGTCTCCCCGTGAATCGGATAGTGATTCAAGACAATTCGCAGATGCTGATGATGGCAGGGTAATTAAATGTCTTGGAATTGTTGACACGTAATCTCGGCGATATTACTCCTTACATAAATATCTCGTCTCCGATTGGTCAGATGCACTCAATGGTTGTAACTCAATTTCTGAAGAAAATGGATTGGTGAGTGGTATCCAGTTTTTAGGAGGAATTTGACATGCATTTCTTTTTGAAATTATTGAGCTAAGACCTAGTTTTTGTAAACAGTTTCTTTAGACGCAGACGCACACACACACACACACACACACAAACACACACACACACACATACATATATATATATATATATATATATATATATATATATATATATGAAGTACTGCCTTCTCGGGAGGGCTCTTGATTGAACCTTCATCACAATAGGTTGGGAGAAGTAGATGCGATAAGCGACGATAAACTACACAAGAAGTCAAAATTCATCTTTGCATTTAAGTATTGCATTAATATTTGAGCTTAGCTTTTAAGAGTTCAACGATAATTCTTCTGCCACCATTTAATGTAAAGACAGTTTGATGTACGAAGGTCCTTAATTTTCCGTATGAACAATTAGTTTTATTTCATAGGTAACTTTCGCAATTAATTTCGATTATGCCCAAATATATATATATATATATATATATATATATATATATAGAGAGAGAGAGAGAGAGAGAGAGAGATTTTGGACGGCGATCTCAGTGATTTTTCGAATAATTACTTGCAAAAATACGCGAAATTTTAATTCGTTTCTAACAGACACAGAGGCACACAAACATGCACACATCATTGATTGTGCATGGAATTCTTCAGGGAATATATTTATAAAAAAAACACTATTAAATTTAGGAAAATTAACATTTGTTTAATTAACCTAATTCTTTATTTGTATAATCTTCTTTTATATGTCGTGTCTCTTCAGGATATTAATGATCATGGCCCTCCACACCCTTGTAGCTCGTAATATTTTTATTTTGTTATTTCTCCTAAATCCTGTTCTACCATTCATTTAAATCCATCAAGTATGTTACACTCTGTTTTTTCTATGTCCCTTTTCCCTCAATCTGTCTCGTGATTATCGAATTTTCCAAGCCCTCTTTCCTCATTATGTGCCCCAGAAATTTCAAATGTCTCTTCCTGATATTAAGTATAAGTTTCCATTTTGTTTCCATTTTCTCCAAAACCTCGTTGTTGCTCACATGTTCGGATTATGATATCCTCAGCATCTCTCGGTATAATCACAGTTCTGTTGCTTCAAGTCTCTTCTAAAATATCATTAGGTATTAAATATATATATATATATATATATATATATATATATATATATATATATATATATATAAATGACCTTTGAAAATTAATTTTCTAGCTTTTCTACCCGTTTGGTGAACCTTTTTTCCTGCGATTTACAGGATAACACCAGAACGACTGCATTTCTGAAATGAATTAGGTCAAGGTAATACTTCTTTGAGGATATAAAGTTATCGATTTCGATCCCACATTCGTTCTTGTGTTAACTGTGACTGATTTTTTTCACAGTAAGGTTCACTCTGTACAAGACCTAGGAGTCACTCGATGTAGAGTGTTACGTTCGTTAACCCTAGATATCAACTGGTTGTAGTGATCGGGGAAACATCCTCTTGGGAGTCGGTTCACAGGAAGAAGCTGATTATACAAACATATCAATAATAAACATATCAATAATAAACATGTCAATCCCTCAAATGTTCAAACTGTTTGCCCCCCACCCCCACCCAGCATTCGCACTCTCCTCTACTCTTGCCCTATATCTACTGTTGCAGGCCCATGTATGTCCCGTAAATTAAATAAAAACCTCAGTTCGAACCTTCCCCGGATCGACCTGAAGAAGGCCGCGGTTAGAGGCAAAATGATCGAAACGTTGTGATAACTACAACAAAGATGACGAACACTGAATTTGTAAATGTGGGACAGTATCAGAACACCTAAGTATATATCTACCAACGGTATTACAAAACAAAGGAGGTTTTAATTACAAGATTTTGGTTATCTTAAATTTAATCTGAAAGTTCAAGTTGAAAACATATAGGCCAAAAACAAAGATGAACGTACTAATCATTAAAATACTACGGAAATGGCGAACGATAAGAGCTGAAATTGAGACGAAATGCACAATTTAATTCGATATTGATTTGAATTTCTACATTAAATGTTTCTCCGTGCATGTATTTGAAACAAATGATGACCTTTAACCTCTTATTTCTTTCCGCAGCTAGCCGCACAAGCCGAAAACGCAGACAATGCAGCCGAACAAAAGCGACAACTTGGAAAGAGAGTACGTTATGGTGAAATTATCCAGGTAGGAATAAATTTTATTTTGTACTTCACCGTTTTGTACTTGTTAGCTTTGTACTTTTCTTTCTCTCTTGTTTTACAGATTGTGAAGATTCCATGAATACGTACCCTATTTATTCTTTGTAAAAAAGTAACCTCTATGCGTTCATATGTTTGTGTGTATGTGTGCGTATGCACGTGTGTGTGTTTGTGTGACACTAGTTGTCAGTGTTCCCTCTCCGATAGGAAAAATCTAGGATTTTGCGTGCCCACTTGTATAGTTTACGCAACACAATTTATTTCAGCATATGTCCCCATGTTTAGCGTTGTGTTGTATTGGCCTAAACTTATAGTATCTAAACTCCTGTTCGTTTTATGAAGTACCAAATTTCGATCATGTATAGCTTAAAAGAAATCTAGATATTGGGTGACTGCAGATTGGCATGTTAATATCCATGGTAAGCCATTTTGGAAAATGTCTGCCAGCAGTTCCTATAATGAAAGTGTTGGGCACTGTTGTCTCTTTGTCTTCAGCACCACAGATATTTATATACATGTAAAAATATTTTATTACAAAGTAAGGCAATGATAAATGAAAAAGAAACCAATAAAATACTCTGATTGACATTTTATTTTTCATCATTATCATTATTTCTCCCATGACGGGCTGTGGTTGTAGGGTCGTCGCTGATTACCTGACCAGCTTCCTACACATGCCTTAGTCGCTTTCCAATGTCCGAATATCTGTAAAGGATCTTCCAATCTATTCAGACATCAGTCAATCTTTTCTCTGTGTTTGCTTATTTTTTCTGTTGCCTAAAGTAGTACCTTGTATAATAGCAGTGGTCGTTCTTATAACTGGTCTATACCATTTCCACGTTCTTTTGTTGACTATGGCTAACGAACCTCTTATCTGATGGGGTCTCGTACTGTGTCTTGTGATGCGTTCTGCATAGAAGATGCCTAAAATGGTTCATAGCGTCTCATTGCGAATGCTTTGATTCTTCGTTGTAATTCTTGTTTGCATGTCTAAGTGAAAGCAACAGTTAGATTTTGTTTATTTCAGACAGATGCTCTTGCACGTCATGGGTGTGACGATAAACTACACCTGGCAGCAGGGCCTGTGATCGGGAGGTTTTGAAGAGCATAGAATCACCTCTTAATTGCGGTTGTTCCCAGATCCACCATGACCCGGATTGGTAGCATCTGTGAAGGTCCAAACTATAGGCAAATATTTGTATAGTGAATAGCCATGGTCAAATACAAAATAAGTAACAGAACTGCCCAATAAACAATTGACAAAGTTTGAAATCACAAGAAAAAGAAAAATCAGGACAATAATAAACCAGCAAACAATATATACAAGGCAAATTAACAGTAATAAGGCAAAAAGCTTAAAACTAAGAATTGGCGTCGACACAAGTAAAGCTAGTTCAGACAAGCGAACGTAGCATTCTGCGTTCAAGGCAAGACAGACCAGAACTGCATCAGATGAAGCCGAGAACCAGTTTATTTTCTTGGCTAGGAAAACATCTCAGCATGCATTTGTGCAACACTGCCTATAAAATGGTGAGGGTAATGTGTTTTTGCAGTCATTCCATGGGGATTGAAACTAACTCCTCAAACTGGGATCAAAACACTATGAAAGTATAAACATACATTTTTATTATAAAAATAGCAGTAATAGTTAAAAAAATACCAGTAATACATTTTTGAAAAAGAAAATTACCAACAATACATTTTTTAAAAAAAAAAAAGGAAATTACTAATGCTCATAAGAAAATTAAATTTCGGCATTAAATGACCCTTAAGGAGTTGATATGACACCAAAAGCAAACAAACAAGATGTACTTGACTTTCTCGATGTCTGTATTCTTTTAGTTATAACTTTATTAAATAGTAGAAATAAAGAATATAGTTAAGCACTCATGTTCAATGAATTTACTGAAGTCATTACATATACTGATTAATTTAACTGAAATGGTCGCTGAAAATTCTCTAAAGCAAATACAATTCTGCAAGCGCTTCTGTGACTTGATGGACATGGGTTGTAACACAAAAAAAAAGACTCGGTAGTGCATACTGCTGTGATCTCTGATTGTCCCTGGGATTCAACCCAATCACTAGCTTGCAACCTATCACCTATGATCTTCAACTATGCTATCTATATATGCAGACCACCGGACAATCTTATCATCCCCATTTTTTATCTTTGGTCATTTCCACTGTATCTACTTGAGAGTCGATTACAAGCCTTGATCAAATGTTAGACTGCTCACCGTTTTCGCTCTTGTTTCCTTTCTTGAATTTAGTTCATACTCATGTACTCAAGGGTTGATAAGCCGTAAATCAATCAATCCTCGATGAAACAGACCGGACAAGTTGAGAATCAGTGTATTGTTGTCATCAAGGCGAACTTTTTCAATGTACTTGAGAGTCTCAACAAAAGAAATTCCAATAATAGTTTTTCTTCGTCATTTAATCACCGACATTTAGTTTGTGTTTTCTTGCTTAGCTGTAAAGGCTTACAACTAATTTAATATTATATGTTGCTTTAAATGCAACCATATCTGCTGAACTCATCCAAGCCAGCAGTTCTGAATACTTTGACATCTTTACACTTATTCGAGTTTACTTCTCTTACTTAAACGTTACTGCCTCATGCAAACCTTCAGCGCCAGATGGCATGCAACAGAAAGAAAGCAGAGGACTTCCTGTTCTGGTTTACACTGGTAATGTATGTCTTCTGTTCCAGTTAATTGGGTCGGCAGTGATGTTATCATTAACTGCACTGTAAGATTTCTCTAGGTCTCTCTTCTCGACCCGTTGTCGGTTACTGAAGACTTGCATACCCGATCGAGGATTTCGCGCTTTGTAGACAAAGACAGCCTTTTCAACGATGGTTTAATGGTTAGCGGCTCGGATTGAGGAATCAGAGAGCTGAATTCGAATTCCAATCGAATCCATTACATTCACTTACGTGATAATAACCTTGGGAAAGATATGAATCCACTTCTCCCTCTCCCAGCGATTGGTAAATAGCAGGACAGACCGGGTTCTATAGCCTTAGATGGCAACTGGTTTACCGCAGAAAGAAATGGCAACCTGCTGCGAGAAAAATCTGCCTCGTCAGTCATGTATAGAAAGATACATGATCACGTAAGCGTGTATCATGCATGGCACATAACTGACTGACTGAATGTTCATCTAGTTTCTATTTTTCCGAGTCGTCATTTTTGATACCTTGATTTTGTATAGCGACATATCAACATCTCCATAGGTTACTTAATACCTAAATCTAAATATTTTCAACACAAATGTATGCCTTCAACCACAGATAAAATGTATTGTTAGTCATTTTTCTATAAAATATATTGTTGGTCATTTTACTATAAATATGTATAGTTGGTTATTTTTTTTATATTGAAGTGTATTGTTCTTTTTTATACTTTCATAGTGTTTTTTTTTTGTGGTTTTACCATTTGCCAAGAGCTGGAACCATAACAGGTGCTACCACACCTGATCAGGGTGGGACCTAGGATCAACAGCAAATAAAAGGTGGTTCCATGTTCTTCAAAACCTCCAATCTTCAAATCAGAAGCCTTGCTGCCGGATGTCGTTTATCATCTTACCCAGGACTAAAGTTTATAGTCAACAGATATGTTTTCTACACGTCCTCATAATGTTCCCTTACTACAATCTCGCTCAGTAACCCTCTACCATGAGTGGCTCTTGTACCTTGTATTGGTTAAACTAATAGTATATAAAAAGAAAAATTAATTCTTACTAGAATTTCTATAATCTTAATTTTAGTTGCTTTTCATTTCAACTAATCAGAATATCGATCTACGACTATTAATTGTTAACTAGTTATCTAATAAGATATTGAACCCACCGCCGTAAGGTTGCTTCCCTGTGCCTTTTCTATAAATACTTTTATGGTAATTGTTCAGATGTATTTTTTCGTGTCTAGACTTTTTGAATTTAAGCGTAGTATTAGATTAGCGTCGAGATCTCATCAATTTACAGTTTTGGTTAGATGTGGCCGAAACTTCTATGCTAAAAGTTACTTTTCTCGCACTTTTCACTTGTGGAACTCCCTTCCGGCTCCATGCTTTCGACTTTAATCTTCAAAAATGTAAATGCAATGTCAATCGCTATCTGCTGTCCTCCTGATTATTCTTTTGTTCTCGTTCCTTAGCAATATTTCTGTTTCTAATTCTTCCACACCCAGTAACTCTTTGCGTCTCAGTGGCTTTACTGCCTTGCAAGGGGTGATCCCGATTAAAAAATACTTCTAATAATACAAGTAATATATGGCATTGTGCGATCGGGAAAATACGTTTGTGTAAATTGATCAAAAATAAAATTAGTTTAGCAAAAAATTAAACAATGTTTGGCAGAGATTCTTCCAAATGTAGATTGGATTAAATTAATCTGGTTTTTTTTTTTTTTTTTTTTTAAGTATTACACCCCAAGCAAGGCGGGAGTGCCACTAGCACGCAAGGGGTTACAGAGAGTGAAAGTAAGAGAAAAGAGGGGTGTTTGAGGAGAGGAAAAAGAGAAGGGCGGAGATCAAGATCTAGGCATAAGTACATGCCAATTAACAATACATTTGAATATTTGAAGATTATAGCCACCAGGGAAGCAAGTAAGAGGAAGGGAGTTCCACTGTCGGGAAGTGTGAGAGAAGAAGCTGTTGGAGTAGAAGAGGCGGTTACATTTAACTGTTTCGATAATGAAAGGATGAGACCGAGATGCCAAGCAAGTAGCACGCTTAAATTCATGCAGTTGGGGTACCAGTGAAAGAAGCTCGTCAGATCAGTTGCCATGGGAATATTTGTAAAAAAGACAAATCCACATCACGTCTCTGCGAAAGTGATTGTAGTCAAGATGCCAGGTCAGAACTTATCACATTGCATGTCCGTCTTTGGATTTTGTCGAGAACCTTGAGATGAACAGCGGGAGGCACCAGACCATATATGGCAACAGTCTTCAATGAAAGACCCAATGGTAGATTTGTAGATTTGATGGATGGACTCAGACGAGAAAAACCTGGCGTGACACAGAGAACCAACATTCCTTGCAGTAGATGAAGCTATTGATTCAGGTCAGTGGAAAACGTGAGACCATGAAGGCGCAGAGAGGCGCTTCTTGTGGAGTTGACCATCAGCCATGCTGATAGGAGGCAGGGAGGTTTCCCTATGGTGAGTAAATGAGCAGTTTCGTTTTGGAGGCATTAAAGTTTACAAACCATTTCCTACCGCGATTGGCGGATTTAGTATTTCGACACTAGTAAATAGTAATGTCGTCTGCGTATAGAACTGAAGATCCTTGATGAAGATCAGAAACAGTGTAGGACCCAGGATAGAGCCTTGGGGAACACCAGCGTTCGTACGAAAGGAACTGGAGGAGAACCCGTTTAAGACGACCTTTATTTCACCGTTCGATAAGAATGATTGGATTAAATCAAATAACCATCCTGTAATACCGTATCTCTGAAGCTTACGAAGTTGGCCGTCTTAGAGAATCTTGAGCCACAGCTCGAGCTTCGCCATTATTATCAAGAGTTTGGTATACAAATTCAGTTATGTCCGTAATCACGTCGGGTAAAGCGGAAACCATATTATTTGTCAGAGAGTAGATAATGGGATGTAAGGTGCTTAACCACTTCGGCATTGATTAAAGCCTCGAAGACTTTACCGAAGAGTGGTAGGAGACTGATAGGATGGTAGTTACATGGGTCAGAAGGGTCTCCAGAGTTCTTAAAGACAGGGGAAACAGATGAATACTTCCAACAGGCTGAAAAGCAAGAGGCAGCAAGGCATTAGTTTGGAGAGAACTGGAACCAGCTCAGGAGCACATTTCTTTAGGACTACAGCTGGTATCCCGTCCCCACCACTTGCTTTAGGAGAGTCTAATTTAGAGAAGATGTCCAATACCATTGACGGGGCTATGCTCATCTCACTAAATATAGCCTCAGTTCTAGGGGAAAAATCAGGTGTAGGTACTCCGGATAGGTCGAGTGATGTGTTGGGTAAGAATTCCCGAGCAAAGTTAGGACTTCGAATCGATTTGATAGAGGAGGGATTGTGGATTTGCTGTTGCCCAGCACAGTCTTGCAGAGTCAAAGTTGCGATATATATATATATATATATATATATATATATATATATATATTATAAATTAATTGATTTAAAATATGTTTTTTCATGAAAAAAACATATTTTAAATCAATTAATTTATAATATTAATGCTCTGTAAATTTACATTGAGCACTATTTTGTAAAATATATATATATATATATATATATATATATATATATAATACGACATTCTATCGACAAATAATAATAATAATGACCGTGTTCTGAAAACCTGATTTGGTTTTGATGAAAAGCATCTAAAATTAGGATAAAATAGTTCACATTAAAAGAAAAATAAATAACAAAAGACCCATTGTAAGGGCTGAGGGAGATGTGCATTTCTTTCTCGTGTAAGTTTGAATAATGATTTTTACAGTAGATCGCTGAGGGTCTTCCCGCGAACTACTGCTCTGTGGAACTGACCCCTAAGAGGATTTTTCCCCGATTATTGCAATCTGAACTTGTTCAAATCCAGTGTTAACCGTTATCTCCCCTCCTATCCATATAAACTGCAACTTAACGTAACCCTCTACCCCGGTCCTTGTAGAAAGTGGATCTAACTGTAAAATAAAGAAATGAAAAAAAAAGAAAAAAAAGGAAACTGCTAAATGTAACCGTCTAACTATAGTTTCTTTTCTCAGACCTCTCAGCTATGGAACTCCCTTTCAGCCTCTTGCATTTTTGTCAACTACAAAATTCAAAATGCAGCGTCAATCGTTAAGTGCCGCTTTAAATGCTATTCTTTTTACTACCCTTTCTCCTCATTAACTTCTTCTCAGTTACCGTCACTATATTGTCATTCATCCTCAGTAATCCCTTTGAGTATTAGTGGCTTTATCGCCTTGCATGGGTGTGAAATGATCAAAAAAAAAAAGAAGAAACCTCATCTTAGTTGGAAGACTGGAGCAATACACTCTTCCTATCGCTATCTGGCTTTGGGCAATACTGCTCTCAGTTTAGTGACTATCCACGTGTGTCTACGATTGTTTTGTATTTGTAAAACATGAGAATCTAAATATGCTTTTTCACTCAAAATATCTGTCAATATATATATATATATATATATATATATATATATATATATATATATATATATATATATATATATTCAAACATATATTGTTATAATATAACAGACAACGAATGTCCATCATGTTTAATCAGGAGCTGTTCTAAGCTTCATATAGTTGCCTTAATTTCAGGGAAAAATAAAGACAAAATTTGTCCAACATTTGGATAGTTTTTACTATGCTGTTCCTCCATCTAAGGTTTCGGCTCACATGAGCCATCATCAGAGTTGTTATATGGACATTTCAACGAAGATATTCACCATCAAAAATGATACCCTGTCATGTTTCCACAGAACTTTGCTATGCGACGATAACGGTAACGGAATAGCAAACGCAGGCCGTAAATTTGTAATGCGGTTCTGTGACGTCATATATATATATGAGAATCTAAATGTACTTTTTTTCACTTAAAATATATTTCACTATATATATATATATATATATATTAATACTACCTCTTCTATTTTTCTAGCTCAAGCATGGCTTCACCAAGAAGTACATACACATGTGCACCTCCCAGACCAGCCAACGAGATAAAAATAACATGATGGTAAGTAACGCAAATAAGTACTTTCAATTGTTAAACTATCTACGATTATAGGGAAAAGTATAGCATGAAAGACACGACATATATATATATATATATATATATATATATATATATATATATATATATATATATATATATATATATATATAGCGCTCACTCGACTCTTCCGTCGAATCCGACGTACGAGGGTCAAGCAGATCATTTCCCAGGAAACCGACAGCCCGACAACAGCACATGAGAAGGTTTCGTGCAGGACCATCCACATTTTTGAAGGGCTGATTAGAGACCTGGTGCACTACGTGCCACAGGGTCCCCAAACGACCCTCCGCAGGTTTTGAATTCAGAGTTGTCCTTCTCCTAGACCAGTTGCCATCCAAGGCTATAGAACCCAGTCTCTCCTGCTATTTACCTTAGGAGGCACGGTGGAGTAATAGATATCGGCTTGAATTGAGGAATCGGAGAGCCGAGTTCGAATTCCAGTCGAATCCATTACATTCACTTACGCACTAATACCCTTAGGAAAGATATGAATCCTCTTCTACCAGCTATTGGGGGGGGGTAATACCAGGACACACACATATATATATATATGTGTGTGTGTGTATTGATATAATAGGAAAGAACTGTTCTAAAGTATTTTATTTTTAAAAGACAGTGCTCGAAGTAGAGCCTAAATTATAATTATTTTTAAAAAATATGATTCCAACGCGACACAGAAATTACTATGTTTCGAAACTGGTCATCCGTATTTCAAGTTAAATTTCAATATTAAACCTTAACTGTTGGATGACTGTTTCATCCTCAAGCGATGTTTGAAATAACTAAGCAACGAAATACAAAAATTGTATCCAAAAATCAAACAAGTGCGAAAATTTAATTACCTGGGAAGTCTTTTAAACGGAGGAAGGAAAGTGCTACATTGAAATCCGAAGTTGTATTGGGATAGTCAAAGAAGCATTACAGAAGCTAAGCAATCGAAGAAATAAGGAATAGAAAGAAAAAGAAAAACTTCGCCAGAAACAAGGAAAAGAGCTAGTCCGTTAAGTGCCATAAGTGATACACACTTGGGCGATCATGTAACTTTAGATACATGACTTACGAGGCAGATTTTTTCCCGTAGTAGGTTACCATTGCCAACCATACCTAAAGAACCCAATCTGTCCTACTATTCAACCCATAGGTAGAGGGAGAAGAGATGGATTCATACCTTCCCCAAGGGTATTTGTGCGTCAGTGAATGTAACGAATTCGACTGGAATTCGAACTCGGCTCTCCGAGTCCTCACCCGAGTCAATATCCATTACACCACAGGTATGGCTGTGAGGTCTGGACGATTTCCTCGGATGAAGAAGAAAACTTGAAGCAACACAAATGTGGTTCAACAGAAGGATACTGAGGATACCATGGACCGAACATGTATGCAACGATGAAGTTTTAGAGAAAATGGAAACAAAAAAGAAACTTATACAAACATCAGAAAGAGACAGCAGTGGTCTCTAGGACACATAATGCGGAAAGAGGGCTTCGAAAATCTGATACTCACGGGACAGACAGGGGGAAGAGAGACATAGAAACTCAACGCATAACATAGTGGGCTTGAGTAAATGTATGGCGTGGCAGGGTTTACGTGAAATGACAGAAAGACAAAGGTTTTAAGAGGTACAAGGAACAGAAGTTGTGGAGAGCCATGATCGCGAACGTCCTGAGGGGACACGGAACATAAAGAGGAAGAATAGAGAATCAAGCGGAAAAGTTGTACAATGCGATGAAAAAGCAGGAAAAATAATTTAATGAATGTATTATTATGTTGCAAGTACATAAAATATTTTTCCGAAAATTGCTTGGATCTTTAACATACTTGATATGTTATTAAAATATTTTTTTTAATAAATTGACATATATATATATATATATATATAGATGGCTATCAGTTCGTTATAATCGTTTTTTTATTCTCAACATTCTTTGTCGCGTTGTTATATGTTGAGAAATAGGTACAAAGTGTTGAAGATAGATTTACTAAACGGTGTACGACTTCCGGTATAATCATGAATTTCGACTATAAGCAACACTTTCCCACTTGGAAATTTGAAGCAATACAATCTTCTTACCTTCACGTTTCTCAAAATTAAATCCTGTGTCGTACAGATCAATTAGACCAGCTCATGCTTTGTTATTTGCAGCATAGCTCTTGAAGGGTGAAAATTACCATGGATTGGCGTTATGTTATCGTCTCTGTTGTACGATATAGCCTGTCAGAAATGGCGCTTTTCATAATAATCTATAAAAGCATTCCCCTTGCAAACCCATAAACCCAAACTTGGCACAGGAGAAATGAAGTATGTCAGCAATAGCAAGTTACAATGAATTCACAATATACAAAAAAACAGGTTCCATTTTACTTATTTATTTTTGTTACATTCAAGTCAATTTCCCGCCTTTGTTGGTGCAATGGCGTCAATTCGGATTGTCGTCATCAGGATAGCGGCTGTAAACTTACGTGTTTATTCACCATGGCTTTCTGGTTTTTTTTTTCATCCATTTTGGGCAAAAAGCCAAACCTTATGTCTAAGCTCGGTAGTTTACAATATCAGGTAAAACCAGACGCCATCTTAGAAAATCGATGAGTCGAAATGAGCAATTTTAACGGAAATCTATCTGAAGACGTTTCTTTGGAATGTGGTATAATTTTTTGGTATCAATGAATAAAATTATGATTATATGAAAAACAAGAATTTGGTCTCAAAAGATATTGTATCGTAGAAAGGAATTTAAAAGCTGCAAATTATTGAGAAATTAAATGGCTGTTTTGTTTCGGAATCTCCCAGTAGAAGCCATTGTTAGTATGCCATTTCATTGTTCTTTTTGACGATTAATTTTTTGTTATTGCTGTTAACATATGATTGCTATTTTCTAAATAAATATATTTGTAAATAAATAATTTTTAATGAATGTTTTCTGTGGATCTATTGTTTTAAGAAAATAAATGGTAGAATGAATCTACATTAAAACATGCATGATAATTGCGCGATAATGTAATGTGTCTTAGATAAAAACGTATTCAAACTAATTAATTAGTCCAATATCTATGTACATATCTATCTACATATCTATAGATAGATATTACATTGTATTCATATCGCTCTACCTCTCTCTATATATCTATCTATCTCTCTCTCATATATATATTCACACCTATCACAATATCTTCATATCTATCCATCAAAACTGGAGTAAATAATTAGTTTTCATGCATATTTACCAGTGTTCATTATCTATCTATCTATCTATTTATCTATATATATATATATATATATATATATATATATATATATATATATATCCCAATGTGTTCATGTCATCTATCCACCTATCTCTTTTCTCTCTCTTTATATATATATATATATATCCCTATGTATTCATACTATCTCTCTCTCTCTCTCTCTCTATATCTATATATATATATATATATATATATATATATATATATATATATATATATTGTCTTCCACAGACAGACTGTTTCGCTGTATCACAGCTCATCAGTGGCTAGACATCCGGTTGCCATATCTAGCTAAGATCGGAACCCGGCTGAATTGTCGTCAGTCGGATATTTTACACCTACGCACGGCAGAGAAGAAGCTGAATTTAAGTGTATTTATTTTTAGATAAGATGAGAGAACTCGATTACCGAAGAGTCATGCATACCATCTATCCATCTCTCTCTCTCTCTATATATATATATATATATATATATATATATATATATATATATATATATCAGTCTTATAAATATTTTCGTCTTCATATCTTTCTTTCTTTTGTCTCTTCATATCTATATATCTATCAAAACTCTGGACTAATTAATGCAGTTTTAAAATAAAACAGCTAAAGTTCACGGGTACTAAAACACGTGGTGAAAGCCCGAATCTCAAGTCATAATTTCATTAAAAACATGACCATCCGCAAGTAAGCATTATCTGTAGGAAAATGGCGGGCTTTAAATCTGGCTAACGATTGAACATCGCATACGAATTGCTCTTTGTATGTGCCCCTGCTCCTATCTATTTTATGATTGTAGATTACTTTCAAGAAAATACATAATTTGATTGTTATGTTTGAAATAAAATCAATTCTAACCTGCTTTACTCTTTATAATATCCATTTAACTTATTATCTCCAGCTTTGCTGTAGTCTCGTACGACTTGCCGGAACAACGTGACGTCCAATGGGACGAGAACTGTTTTACGTTATTCTCAAGCGAAAGAGACAAGAATATTTTCCAATTATTCTTGTCAATTACATACAGCAACTATTAGAAAACGTTCCGCTAATAGATTGATTTCATTCCAAATGTCCCCAAATTTGGCGTTTTGGTTGCTATTTATCTATAACTTTTGACAGGATAATTGCTTTTAAATATGAATTTGATTATTCAGACTATATACCCGACGGGTACTTATTTAAAACAATAGAGGTCGCCCAGCGTGGAGTAATATTTAGTGAATTAATCTAACGAATCATTGCGACGCTGGTTTCTGGTCCTCACTGATACTGCTGCCTTCTTCAAAATAAAGGTAAGCAAATTAAATACGGGTAGGCACCTAGTTGATAATTCACTTAATAGTCTGTCTATATCTTTAATGATTGATTCTTAATGAGCATCTAATAAGGTTAGTTTTTTGACGAGACTAAAATAATTCTCATAAATATAAGTAGGCCATCATTAAAACTGCAGAGAAATATACCGACACTTCTCGTCCTCTGAAAACTTAACTGTAGTGTATATATACACACACACACATATATATATATATATATATATATCTGTGTGTAAATGTTTTTTATTAAATAATAAAGACATACTTTCCAGTTCTCTAATCAGTTTCTTGATGTTAAGATGATATTCACCAATGAAGGTACTATAGTTTTTCTCTAACCCAAGTACTTTCAATTTTTTCCAAGATCATCTTCAGGGGTAAATTACAACGAGAAACTTAT